AGCCATCTTCAACAACAGATACTCCCCTAGTCGAAAGAGTTCTTGTTACGCCAGACAATACCCAAAATCCTGAACCACCCAGCTCGGGTGCCCCATTTTTACCAAACGATTTAGATCAACGGTTCGCACCCATGCCAGGCCGAGATTCTACAACACCGACCCCTGTGGCACGGGTAGCCCTCGCCTCGAATTAAACAATTCTGTGTTTTATCTCTACTATACACTAGGTATCCAAGTAATAGATTTACCCCTCATGTTCCTTCTTCCACAACTCACTCTGTCTCGATATCAACCAATTCCCTACCCTCTTCCACCATCTCTCCTGCTTTGCAAGCTACAGACCTGACGACACCTGGAGCGTGTGCTCTTAAAGCGGTTTCGGTCTTCATACTCTCAATAACGACTACTACTTGACCTTTCTCCACACGCTCTCCGACCTTCACACGAACCTCGACGACCAAACTAGGCATAGGTGCTTTCAGGGCACCCTTCGCGCCAACAACGTCTCCTCCGAGGGATAACAGCCACTTGGGAGATGGCAACACCAGTGTGGTCTTGTAGCCATCGCTGAAAACGTTCAATCGTTCCATAGTGTTTGGGGAGAGCGTTGCCGGGACGGCGGGATGCGGTTTCTGAGACACCACTGTCGTTTTGGAGTGATGTCCGTTGATGGTTGCGGAGAGTGTATCCGGACCCTCAAGGCATGCTTGCACGGAGTTGAAGGTATGCGTACCATCGACAATAACATCATACAAATCGTTTCCTTTGGCCGTAATCGAGACTGGGACACTGGTCTCTGTTCCTTCTGACTGCAGTTGGATAGTACGCCGGTATGCTTCTCCTCCGAACCTCCGCGAGGTTAAACTACTCCAGGGTGTGTTCACCTGTGATCCCAAAGGCGCTTGGTCACGAAGAACGGCGTAAAGCCCTGTTTTCGCAAGCGTCACTGGGCTTGGTGGCTCGAGCGGGGGGAAAAGTTCATCGAAGTGTTTCTGGAGCATGACTCAGAATTTGCATCCAGATATAATCAACTGTACTCACAGGGATAAATCCAGTCTCGACTTCTGCGTTGATGAAAGCCTGGTTGCCTGCTAATGTACGCAGGAACTCGACATTCGTTGAAACGCCAACTACGTGGTACTCATCAAGGGCTTTACGGAGCATTCGCAAAGCTTCTGTCCTGTCTCTACCATGGACGACCACCTTTGCGATCATTGGATCATAGAAAACTCCTATTGAGGAGCCTTGGGTGAAGCCTTGCTCAATTCGCAAGGAAGGGATAATGTTTAGAGAAGGGTCTGAGTTTTCGGATGGGCCTAGTGCAGCGAGCTCAGTCTGGGATAGAGACACATCACGAGTTGGGAGAGGAGGGGCAAAGGTATGTGTTGGTGGAGGCGTCGAAAGATATGTGAGCGTTCCAGAATCAGGGAGAAAGTTGTTGCGGGGATTCTCAGCATAAATGCGAGCCTCGAAGGCATGGCCTGCCATGGGTATCGCAGCCTGTGTCAGTGGCAAGGGGTTTCCTGCGGCCACCTGAATTCGAGTTAGATACCGCTATAACAGAAACATAATCATAAATACCTCGAGTTGCCATTCAACCAGATCCTGTCCGGTAATCATCTCAGTAATTGGGTGCTCAACTTGTAGGCGGGTGTTCCTGGAACATGTATTTAGCAAAATACCCAGCCTCACAAGCTGGTCAACTTACATCTCCATGAAATAGAACTTTCCAGTGTCATTATCAAAGATAAACTCCACTGTTCCTGCACCAACGTACTTGACAGCTTTGGCAGCTGCAACGGCCTTGGAGCCCAGATCTGCGCGAAGTTCGGGGGACAGGCCAGGCGCAGGTGCCTGAAAAACAGAGAGTTAGTAAGTCTCGCGACCTTCGGGCAAGATATGGCGGGTACCTCTTCGATAATCTTTTGGTTTCGTCTCTGAACTGAGCAATCGCGCTCCCAAAGACTGACAACACCCCCCGTTGTATCAGCGAAAACTTGGACTTCGACATGTCTGGGAGTTTGAATATATTTCTCCACCAGCACGGTATCGTTTCCGAAAGCCTTCAAGGATTCTCGTTTAGCTGCTTCGAGTCCCTCGAGGAAAGCTTCTTTGGTCGGGGTCAAGACAGTTCTCATACCCTTTCCACCACCGCCGTGGATAGCCTTGATAAGGACGGGAAATCCTGTGAATAAGGTTCAGCAGTCGTTACAAAATAAAATTACGGGAATATATACCTATTTTCTCTGATTCAGAGAAAAGGAAATCTGGGTCTTGGTTATCGCCATGATAACCAGGTACGCAAGGAACACCTGCAGCCAACATGATGTTTTTCGATTCACTACATGACGATCAGCGAGGGTTCGTAACGTAAACCGTATTGTCGAACCGCACCTCTTCGAACCCATGCTCACAATTGCACTTGCAGGAGGCCCAATGAACACTATTCCATTTTGCGCCAGCTTTTCAGAGAACTGGGCGTTCTCACTCAGGAAGCCATATCTGTCATCAAGTTGTGTGGTTAACGTAGTCCATGCACAGTACGATTGCCAACATACCCGGGGTGGACTGCCTGTTATAAGTATGATATCAGTAAGTCGACAAGCTGAGTCTCATGATGCAACACACCTGTGCCCCACTCTTTAGACAAACATCAATGATTTTGTCCATTGCAAGCTACACAGATAGAGGAGTCGTCAACAGTCCCTAGAGAGGGTAAGCGTGATAAACATACATAGCTCTGAGCAGAGGGCGCAGGTCCGATGCAGTAAGCTTCATCTGCCTGATAGGACAGGTCAGTGCGGAGCTCAGCCAAGGTAAGAAATACAACTAACCAACTTAACATGGAGAGAATCATGATCCGCTTCACTGTACACAGCAACCGTCTTGACACCCAGCTTGCGGGCAGTGCGAATAACACGACACGCAATTTCACCTCTGAAAAGCAAGCTCAGTCTACATGTCCAAGAACGAATAAAAATGAGCTTACCTGTTCGCAATCAGTATCTTATCGAAATGCGGTTTGCGTTGCGGGGTAGCTAAAAGAACAGCGCGTTAAACAGAGAAGCATCCATGGGAGTAATCAGCAGCATTCATTACCCTCAGAGGCAAATGTACGACGCCCTGGTATCCTGGAGTGGATACGTGGCGGCGTTGAGCGCAGACTGGCATGTCGACTGGCACTACCAAGCTGTACCGGCAATGAAGTGGAGGTTGATAGCCGTCGTGCGGGGGCGAGTCTTGAGGATGAGATTGCCAAACGGGAGAGAGCATTTGAGAGACCTTTGGAGGTGGACGAGTGCTTTCCAACGAGCATGATGATGATGAAAATAGTAAAAGAAAGAAAATTCGTTTTATTCAACAGTCACCGTTGATTTGGTTAACGTTGTAGGCTCCGTCCGGGTCCATATGATGCTATTACTATTTTTGGAAATCAAGGAGATTCAAGATGGCGTAGCATAATCATTTAAATGTATTAATGAGGAACAGCGACAATAACTTTTTCGCCGCTGATTTTATTGGAGCGTAATAAATCCAAGCCAACCCCAACTCTGTCTTTAAAGCTCCCTTGATCAAGCAGCTTAACGCGGTTGGGTTTGATATGTCCATCCTTCAACAGTTGCGGTAAGATGTCCGGCATCAAATGTCGCTTCATATTCTCGTCCTAAAGTCCATAAATTTAGCCAGCCAAACTTAGATGAGCACTTGAAATCATCTTACCGTCTGGGCGTAAAGAAAGGTTCGCACACCAATAAGCTGCGTCCCCTCCGGCAAAGGGTTCTTCTTATCAGGCGGGAACTCGAAGTACATCCTCTCTTCATGGCTTGCATTCGTTACAGAGCTACCCTCCTTGATGGGAGGCAGTATCGCGAGCTTGCCACGAGGACTTATAATGTCCTTGATAATATTCAACGTCGCTTCATTGGTAATGCAGTCCATCGCAATTGTGACTTTGCCATCGCCGCCGACAACTTGGGCAATATCTTCCACAAGAGTGGGAGAACTGTAGTCAAATGTGTCTGTGGCTCCCAAGCTGCGCAGGTATTCATGGTGCTTCTTGGACGCTGTTGCGATAATTCTCTTGTATCCCGCCAACTGCAATAGCTGAATGGCATACAGTCCCGCAGTGGACCCTGCTCCATAGATTAGAATAGGCGTGTCGGCGAGTGGGGGTGATGAGGGGGCGGGAAATCTAGAGGGCAACGGCAAAGATAACTGATTAAAAAGCGTGTAGAAGGAGGTCACAAAGTTGTCTGGAATTGTGGCTGCCTCGGCGAACGATAGACTGTCTGGAATCTTCGCCACGGTGGTTTGCGGTTGAATTGTAAACTGCTGCATACACTTATGCTTCGAAGGTCCATACCCGAAAGTGGTGACCTACAGCATCACGAAAATTAAAACGCATATAGGACATCGTAAAAAAAGGCTTACTCTATCGCCAATAGCGAGATTCTGGACATCGGGTCCGACTTTCTCAATAGTACCAGCAGCGCTATACCCGAGAATAGCAGGCCACTCTTGGACTATGTATCCTCGATCTGCGACATAGGTGTCAAACGCAATCATAGAAGCGTTTTCGACCTTAACAAGGACCTCGCCATCGCCAGGGATTCCAGTAGGCACTTGAATTGCGTCGAACTTGCCAGGTTCCAATGCAGCAATGGCGCTGTGAGTAGACGGCGAAGTCATTCAGAATAAACTCGATGTGTTTTAGATCAAGGTGTAGAACGCCTGTGTCTTCGAGTGGAGTATTTGTGCATTCCCAAATTAACACCGAGCAAATCTTATGAACGAAGAGAAACTTGCTGAATCATAGCATTAGAATCTTTGTAAGAAGAACGTTTTGTCAGACTTTGCGACGATGACGACAGGCGGCGATCTCGTAGATTTCTGTCAGTGCGCGTCGGATAAAAATCTAGGTGTAGCCATTCCAATTAGTGTCGCGCATCCAGAAACATATATGAGAGCAGAGATTGGAAAGAAAGCCAGTGCAAAAAACTTGACCCCCACCCGGATTGAACGGATGACCTTGAGGAAGTGCCACAGACGAACGACTCAAGGAACACTGAGCCGACCGTCTGTGCTGGAATCTCACGCTCTACCACTGAGCTAGGGGGCCTTTGTTTACTTTTCAATCCTTAACATTGTCATGCGACACGATAAGATTTTGATGAGCAGCATCGTGAGTAGGGTGCAACTTAGAAATAGTCAGTGGGGACTGCCAACACCTGTGAAAGATGCGATTTTGTATTGACACTCTGATAAATGCGCGAATCTAAAGTCTAGAAGATTGATTATGATTTTGTATTATACTATAAGTTACAGATAAAAGTCCGCAAAGAATGAAAAGAGAGGAGTGAAGGAGAACAAATGAATGTCGATAGGATGTATGTATATATGACGATATGCGAGATCAATATCCTGATGGGAGGATGCATATAATTATTCCAGAGGAAAAAAGATCGAAGATAGCAATGTAGTTTATCAGCTTACGAGGAAGAAAAAGCAAGGGAGGGTATGCAGTGAGACACTGATCACATAATTATGCAGTCTTTGTCCTTGCCGGATTTTCCGTTCGAGTCATCCTGTCCACGATTCAGAACCGCGCCAGGACCTCCAGGTTGAAGCATTGGTTGGCTCTGAGATCCTCGTAGACGCTGGGCAGCGCGCTTGTCTCCAAGCTCTACAGCGCGTTTATAGTACGCAATTGCTCTGACGGAAATAGTGAGGAGAGGGTGTCTTGAACAATGGGGATCGTACATACTCTTGCATGTTCGCTGGTGTCCCGATACCAACTTCCAGGAAGTAGCCTACAGCATACATAGCTTTAGCCAAACCAGCGTCCGCAGCTCTCTGAGCCCACAAGAATGCCTCTGTATCAGACTGTGGAAGTACTCCTGGCGAGCCGACGAGATACCACGCTGTGAGGGCGAAACATGCATCCCTGTGGTTTTGTTGGGCGGCTATGTTCTGTTCAGGTTCAGCATGCCTGCATAATAAAGAGTTCAACAAAGAGGACGAACATAATAGTGAATCGAGAGAGCGGGGTCTTGAGGACAGCCCATCTTTCCGTATTCATAGCACTCTCCTAAACGGTAGGCGCTGGGCGCATAGCCTAACTCCGCAGCCTGGGCCAATAGTTCCGTTGAGTACTCGTAGTCCACGAAAAGCACGTTGTCGATTCCCCGCTCATGGAGGAGTGCAAGTTCGTGGAGAGCGTGGGGGAATTCGGCAGTTGCATGCTCTGCGCTTCGTTTGAGCCATTTGACACCTTCCTTGGGGCTCTTGGACAATCCTAGCTCTCCGTTTAGTTCTGCAATACCTAAGCGATACATGGAACCCGGATGTAGAGCAGCCGCGGCTTTGCGGAAGAATTGTAAGGCTTTCGCTGATTCTCTCCTGCAGCCCCACCCATTCTCGCAACATACACCGGCTCTGTATGCGGCATCCGGGTGGTTGTGCTTTGCGGCCAGGACGAAAAGGGGGTATGCGCGATCAAAGTCTTGCTTGTTCTTGACGGTTCCGATACCATTTGCGTAACAATCGGCAAGGAAGTATTGACTTTGTGGATGTCCTCGGTCTGCAAGACGCTTTAGAAGAGCCATGGCCTCGCGGACCAAATCTTCCCGTTTCTCCAACGCTTTCTCTACTTCCATGACATTTCCAGGGGTCTGAACGGGAATTGGAAGGGATTTAGAGGCATCGATCATAAAGACGGCGAATTCGAATTGAAGATCAGGGTCCTGGGTTTTCTTAGCGTTTGCACGATAGAGTTCGAGGGTACGTTCATGGGATAGCAAAGAAGCTTGATTTCCGGGACGAAGATGAGAATGATCAAGAATAGGACCTGGAGGTGGTGATGGAGAACGGACGGATTGAGTGGCGACAGAGCCACCATTTCGATAGTCACCAACAGCGGGATTGTAGGAGGAATTTGGATGAAGTCCGGTATTCTGAGTTGAACTACCATTGAAGAAATCATCGTTGTCGTCATCCTGTTCTGGTGAATGGTCTTCATAAAAATCTTGATCATTGTCAAATTGTTGCTGTGGTAAACTTGGAAGGTCGCGATTACTATCGTGGTTTGACATGGACATATATTGCGACTGTCTTGCCGAATCTGGAGGTGATGAGAAGTCCCTAGATGATGAATGACGAGGTTGGTTTTGGTCCCAAGGTTGAGGTTGAGGAGGATGTTGTTGTTGTTGGGATTGAGGAGAATACATTGCCATCAAGGTATAAAGATTACTTTAATCTGTTGAAATTTAAGGAAATGAGGTTGATTTATGGTGGTGGTATTGAAGAAAGGAAGACAAAAGTATGATCGAGGACTGACCGGCGACTCTTGATGAATTAGTTCGCAGGCTAGTAATGACCGACGCTATCAATATTCAATTGTAACAATTTGTTACAATTTCTGAAATTTAAATCTCTTTGAATTTCAAAGGTTTAAAACTGACTTTTTTCTTGAAAATAATTTAACAAAGCGGTTCGAGTTCAAAAGCATTGTAGCAGTACGGCACCACAATTCAACTTGTTCGGTCAAGTCGTGTGTGACCAAGCGTCATATGTGACATATTCAATAGCCCAACCAAGTCTTGTGTTCCTATCTGACTTGTTCCTCTGACTACTTACTTGGTTATAATATCTCATGGAGACTTCACTCCGCTCACGGCCTTCTGTGGCCCCTAAAAAGGCTGAGCGTTCTCCGTCAACTAAATTATTAAAGGGAAATGCACCTCTGCCAAGAGATAACAAGGGGAAGAAGAGTATAGATGATAAAATCAAGAAACGAATGTCAATGCGTTATGCAGATATATCCAGTCCAACTCAGCTAGAAGGTGCACCTCCTATTCCTTCGATAGCAGGTCTTATTCCTGCAGGTCAACAGTCAGCTTCTCTCATTAGAGACGGTGATGAAGATGTTCGTGATCGTACCGCAACCAGGGATGACCCAAAAGCTGTCGCAGATGACAGAAAGATGCTCAACGCTGAAGATTTTGACCCAGCAGCATGTACGAATGAGATACATCTTATAACGCGTTAAACATGTCTTTACCCATTCACCAGATCTCAAGCTCAAACTGGCCAATTCTACCGAGAGCGAACTCAAGTCTTTGCAGTCGTCCCTCCGCAACGCAATCAACGACACGGCTTCCGAGCTCCAGCGTAGCGTATTCAAAAAGTGGGTGACTTTCATCGTAAATAGTGTCACCACCACCACTCATCATTGTCTCTCTAGTTATGCTGAATTCGTGCTCATTTCGAAAGAAATCTCCGTCCTGGAGAACGAAATGATCGAGCTGAAAGACTTGCTATCAGAGTATAAATCCATGCCCTCCACCTTGCACATCCCTGATCCTACATCTATATCCTCATCAACTCTCTCGACCTACAAACGCTCTTCAGTGGCAGATTTACGTGTTCTCTATTTCAATCAAATGCAGAACCTTCACGCATCAATCGAAGGTGCCTCCAAATTCGTTCCAACTACACCGGGTCGCCATGTTGTCGGAGAGATGGAAGGTGTCTTCAGCCTGAACGCTGCAACATACAAAATTACAGGCAAAGTCAAATTTGTTGTATTAGACGATGCTGTTTTGGTGGCAAAGAGGAGAAGAAGAAATGCAGGTCCCTCGACAGATGGAAGTGGTTCAACAGTGAACGAAGGCAAACTTGTAGCGGAGAAATGTTGGCCGCTCAATGAGATGCTAGTACTGGACACCAAAGATTCTGCAAGTAAGCCTATCATATCGCATATTCTTTCCTTTCCTTGACTGATAATTCTTAGCCATGACGAATGTGTTCAAGATTAGGCACGGGAAGGAAACCCATGTATATCGCACAGAAAGCCCTTCAGATAAGAAGAGCCTTCTAGCGCAATTCCGACAAGTGGCAGAAGAACTGTCTCAGAAGCGCCGCAAGGAACGCGAGGGAGAACACGAACGACGAAAGAGCTTGTGGCAGGCAGGCACGAGTACCACTGGTGTCAGTGTCAATCATTCCGAGTCCACACAACATTGCTGATGCGATCCAGTAGCGCAACTCCCCTGTTCCTGCCATGCCCGTGCCAGATTGGATGGCTGATCTAGCGAAGAGAGGTGGAGAGATACCAGGTGTCACAGTTGATGCCAAAGAAAAAGCAGAGCGAGACGCCCGTTGGGTGGGAGACTGGGCTGATGATCTAACCGTCGCCATTGCGCTGAAGGAATGGACAAAAGCCGTTGAGTTGGTTGAGCAAGGTATGCATTTGTCTTCTATCCCTGTCCTCAGCTTATTGTCTACCAGGCCAAGCAAAAATCGCTGTTACTCCTCTTCTTGCCACGAAACTCCCTCCTTTGACGAGCCAGCTTATATCATCCCTGCTACAGTCTCTTTCTCTGCCTTCAGTCAGGAAGACGAGCGCAGTTTCTTTAATTTCGTTACTCAACCGTTTGAAAGCGGGGGCTGCTGCCCGAAGCACCTTCCTTGATATGCGCGCTCAGGTTTTGAAGAGTTTAACGAGAAAGATTCGATTTGAAGGCCATATTGGGACGTATATTGGCGAACTTTCGATCGTTTATTTTACAGGCATAAAGCATACCGCAGACTGGTACCTAGCAAGTTTCAAGGAAAACGAAGTCGCAAGCTGTGAGTAGTTTCCGCCCGAGACAGGTGCCTGACTGACCCTTCCTCAGCTTTCATTGCATGGACTAAGAAGCAGTTAGATGAATATGGCAAGATCTTCAGGAAACAGGTATACTCTAAGGATGTCGATCCTAAGGTCGTACAGGAAGCAATTCAGATCAGTCAAACGCAGAGTCGAAAGGTATGCTCGGCTCATGATACTCGCGATGGTGCACACCTTACTCATTCAAATTCCAGTTGCTTCAAGAGTATGGTCTTGATTTCCGCTACCTATTAGACGAGATACTTGTGGAAAACCCTAAGGAAGAGCCAAAGACTGCTTCAAAAATAGCATTCAGCGACCACAGACTATCCAAGCAAAGTGAAATGTCGTTGGCTAATCTTGCTAAATTAGTGGAACCGCAACAGCAGCCCAGCTTGGCACCAGCACCCCCACCTCCGACGATTTCTGCTCCGCCACCACCTATCAATCGACGACGTTCTCCTCTGCCT